ACTATATAAGTTAAAGGATAAAGAATTGGAGCCAGGGAAAAAGGATTTTTAATTGAAAAAGGCATGAGAAAGAAGGGTACATTAAAAATCACTACATTGACACCAGGGAGCAACACGAACTTTCAGAAAGGGAGGGGCTATGAGTACAAAAGGGAGCAGCAGACATTTTGAATTCAGTTTGGCACGGCCCTCTGAGGGAGCCACATGTCCCCAGAGGGGCACACTGTTAGGGGATAACTACCTCAACTAAACTAAATACTTACCTCAACTAAAGGGATTACTTACCTCCACTAAAGGGAATACTTACCTCAACCAAAGGGAATACTTACCTCACCATAAGGGGATACTCACCTCTACCTGGGAAAAAAAGAAATTTAGAATACCTGTATGTCATGGCCGCCTGAAGAAGTCCCAAGAAGCGGACGAAACGTCGCGAGCGAACGCCACCTGACATACAAGAGAGAGAACACAGCAGGTTAACCAAAAATCACATGGAGGAAAATTAAAGGAACCACACAACAAAAAACAAAAACATGCAAAAACTGTCAAACTGAAGACCTACAAACAGATAATTATACTTCATATAACAAAGGCGAAACCAGTCTAATATAACTCATAGAACGAGTATATAAAACCTCTTTAGAGAAGATGGGGACGGAGAGCTGGCCATCCACAGGGTGGAGAGTGCACTTTGGGGGCCTCCACTTAGGTGGAGACCCCCACCCCAACCCAAACCTAACCAGCCAGGGCCTCCTGTGGATCAATGGTCAGTGCTCCTATCCATACTAAGCTATATTAAGCTAAACCTAGTCTAAATCCCACACTCTATCCCATCTAACCCCAGCCCATACATTTCTGTACTAACCCTAACCAATTGGACCTATACTAAGCCCCTTTTGTGGCCCTAACCCTAAAATTCAAGGCCTGACTCAATTTCAACCCCCCACCCTGACCCCAAAACACTGGCCTTAACTTATTCAAACCTCAGTGAAGGACATTTATAACCCATATAATGGATGAAGCCACTAACTACAGTAGGCATTGATAATACTATGGATGAAGTGTAGCCATTAAAGGGAGGCACACATACCCAATGGAGAAAGTGTAAATCATAGATATGAACACTATATAAGTTAAAGGATAAAGAATTGGAGCCAGGGAAAAAGGATTTTTAATTGAAAAAAGGCATGAGAAAGAAGGGTACATTAAAAAATCACTACATTGACACCAGGGAGCAACACGAACTTTCAGAAAGGGAGGGGCTATGAGTACAAAAGGGAGCAGCAGACATTTTGTTTTCAGTTTGGCACGGCCCTCTGAGGGAGCCACATGTCCCCAGAGGGGCACACTGTTAGGGGATAACTACCTCAACTAAATACTTACCTCAACTAAATACTTACCTCAACTAAAGGGATTACTTACCTCCACTAAAGGGAATACTTACCTCCACTAAAGGGAATACTTACCTCACCATAAGGGGATACTTACCTCTACCTAGGAAAAAAAGAAATAAAGAATACCTGTATGTCATGGCCGCCTGAAGAAGTCCCAAGAAGCGGACGAAACGTCGCGAGCGAACGCCACCTGACATACAAGAGAGAGAACACAGCAGGTTAACCAAAACACATGGAGGAAAATTAAAGGAACCACACAACAAAAAACAAAAACATGCAAAAACTGACAAACTGAGGACCTACATACAATATATATACTTCATATAACAAAGGCGAAACCAGTCTAATATAACTCATAGAACGAGTATATAAAACCTCTTTAGAGAAGATGGGGACGGAGAGCTGGCCATCCACAGGGTGGAGAGTGCACTTTGGGGGCCTCCACTTAGGTGGAGACCCCCACCCCAACCCAAACCTAACCAGCCAGGGCCTCCTGTGGATCAATGGTCAGTGCTCCTATCCATACTAAGCTATATTAAGCTAAACCTAGTCTAAATCCCACACTCTATCCCATCTAACCCCAGCCCATATCATTTCTGTACTAACCCTAACCAATTGGACCTATACTAAGCCCCTTTTGTGGCCCTAACCCTAACAATTCAAGGCCTGACTCAATTTCAACCCCCCACCCTGACCCCAAAACACTGGCCTTAACTTATTCAAACCTCAGTGAAGGACATTTATAACCCATATAATGGATGAAGCCACTAACTACAGTAGGCATTGATAATACTATGGATGAAGTGTAGCCATTAAAGGGAGGCACACATACCCAATGGAGAAAGTGTAAATCATAGATATGAACACTATATAAGTTAAAGGATAAAGAATTGGAGCCAGGGAAAAAGGATTTTTAATTGAAAAAGGCATGAGAAAGAAGGGTACATTAAAAAATCACTACATTGACACCAGGGAGCAACACGAACTTTCAGAAAGGGAGGGGCTCAGAGCATAAAAGGGAGCAGTGGACATTTTGAATTCAGTTTGGCACGGCCCTCTGAGGGAGCCACATGTCCCCAGAGGGGCACACTGTTAGGGGATAACTACCTCAACTAAATACTTACCTCAACTAAATACTTACCTCAACTAAAGGGATTACTTACCTCCACTAAAGGGAATACTTACCTCCACTAAAGGGAATACTTACCTCACCATAAGGGGATACTTACCTCTACCGGAAAAGAAATAAAACCTGTATGTCATGGCCGCCTGAAGAAGTCCCAAGAAGCGGACGAAACGTCGCGACCGCCACCTGACATACAAGAGAGAGAACACAGCAGGTTAACCAAAGCACATGGAGGAAAATTAAAGGAACCACACAACAAAAAACAAAAACATGCAAAAACTGTCAAACTGAGGACCTAAACAATAATTATACTTCATATAACAAAGGCGAACCGGTTCTAATATAACTCATAGAACGAGTATATAAAACCTCTTTAGAGAAGATGGGGACGGAGAGCTGGCCATCCACAGTGGTGGCGAGTGCACTTTGGGGGCCTCCACTTAGGTGGAGACCCCCACCCCAACCCAAACCTAACCAGCCAGGGCCTCCTGTGGATCAATGGTCAGTGCTCCTACCCATGCTAAGCTATATTAAGCTAAACCTAGTCTAAGTCCCACACTCTATCCCATCTAACCCCAGCCCATACATTTCTGTACTAACCCTAACCAATTGGACCTATACTAAGCCCCTTTTGTGGCCCTAACCCTAACATTCAAGGCCTGACTCAATTTCAACCCCCCACCCTGACCCCAAAACACTGGCCTTAACTTATTCAAACCTCAGTGAAGGACATTTATAACCCATATAATGGATGAAGCCACTAACTACAGTAGGCATTGATAATACTATGGATGAAGTGTAGCCATTAAAGGGAGGCACACATACCCAATGGAGAAAGTGTAAATCATAGATATGAACACTATATAAGTTAAAGGATAAAGAATTGGAGCCAGGGAAAAAGGATTTTTAATTGAAAAAGGCATGAGAAAGAAGGGTACATAAAAAAATCACTACATTGACACCAGGGAGCAACACGAACTTTCAGAAAGGGAGGGGCTATGAGTACAAAAGGGAGCAGCAGACATTTTGTTTTCAGTTTGGCACGGCCCTCTGAGGGAGCCACATGTCCCCAGAGGGGCTCATTGTTAGGGGATACTTACCTCAACTAAACTAAATACTCACCTCCACTAAAGGGATTACTTACCTCCACTAAAGGGAATACTTACCTCAACCAAAGGGAATACTTACCTCACCATAAGGGGATACTTACCTCTACCTGAAAAAAAGAAATAAAGAATACCTGTATGTCATGGCCGCCTGAAGAAGTCCCAAGAAGCGGACGAAACGTCGCGAGCGAACGCCACCTGACATACAAGAGAGAGAACACAGCAGGTTAACCAAAGCACATGGAGGAAATTTAAAGGAACCACACAACAAAAAACAAAAACATGTAAAAACTGCCAAACTTAAAACCTACAACAATATTCATATAACAAAGGCGAAACCAGTCTAATATAACTCATAGAACGAGTATATAAAACCTCTTTAGAGAAGATGGGGACGGAGAGCTGGCCATCCACAGGGTGGAGAGTGCACTTTGGGGGCCTCCACTTAGGTGGAGCCCCCAACCCCAACCCAAACCTAACCAGCCAGGGCCTCCTGTGGATCAATGGTCAGTGCTCCTATCCATACTAAGCTATATTAAGCTAAACCTAGTCTAAGTCCCACACTCTATCCCATCTAACCCCAGCCCATACATTTCTGTACTAACCCTAACCAATTGGACCTATACTAAGCCCCTTTTGTGGCCCTAACCCTAAAATTCAAGGCCTGACTCAATTTCAACCCCCCACCCTGACCCCAAAACACTGGCCTTAACTTATTCAAACCTCAGTGAAGGACATTTATAACCCATATAATGGATGAAGCCACTAACTACAGTAGGCATTGATAATACTATGGATGAAGTGTAGCCATTAAAGGGAGGCACACATACCCAATGGAGAAAGTGTAAATCATAGATATGAACACTATATAAGTTAAAGGATAAAGAATTGGAGCCAGGGAAAAAGGATTTTTAATTGAAAAAGGCATGAGAAAGAAGGGTACATAAAAAAATCACTACATTGACACCAGGAGCAACACGAACTTTCAGAAAGGGAGGGGCTATGAGTACAAAAGGGAGCAGCAGACATTTTGTTTTCAGTTTGGCACGGCCCTCTGAGGGAGCCACATGTCCCCAGAGGGGCTCATTGTTAGGGGATACTTACCTCAACTAAACTAAATACTCACCTCCACTAAAGGGATTACTTACCTCCACTAAAGGGAATACTTACCTCAACCAAAGGGAATACTTACCTCACCATAAGGGGATACTTACCTCTACCTGAAAAAAAGAAATAAAGAATACCTGTATGTCATGGCCGCCTGAAGAAGTCCCAAGAAGCGGACGAAACGTCGCGAGCGAACGCCACCTGACATACAAGAGAGAGAACACAGCAGGTTAACCAAAGCACATGGAGGAAATTTAAAGGAACCACACAACAAAAAAAAAAAACATGTAAAAACTGAAAACCTACAAACAAATTAATACTTCATATAACAAAGGCGAAACCAGTCTAATATAACTCATAGAACGAGTATATAAAACCTCTTTAGAGAAGATGGGGACGGAGAGCTGGCCATCCACAGGGTGGAGAGTGCACTTTGGGGGCCTCCACTTAGGTGGAGCCCCCAACCCCAACCCAAACCTAACCAGCCAGGGCCTCCTGTGGATCAATGGTCAGTGCTCCTATCCATACTAAGCTATATTAAGCTAAACCTAGTCTAAGTCCCACACTCTATCCCATCTAACCCCAGCCCATACATTTCTGTACTAACCCTAACCAATTGGACCTATACTAAGCCCCTTTTGTGGCCCTAACCCTAAAATTCAAGGCCTGACTCAATTTCAACCCCCCACCCTGACCCCAAAACACTGGCCTTAACTTATTCAAACCTCAGTGAAGGACATTTATAACCCATATAATGGATGAAGCCACTAACTACAGTAGGCATTGATAATACTATGGATGAAGTGTAGCCATTAAAGGGAGGCACACATACCCAATGGAGAAAGTGTAAATCATAGATATGAACACTATATAAGTTAAAGGATAAAGAATTGGAGCCAGGGAAAAAGGATTTTTAATTGAAAAAGGCATGAGAAAGAAGGGTACATAAAAAAATCACTACATTGACACCAGGGAGCAACACGAACTTTCAGAAAGGGAGGGGCTATGAGTACAAAAGGGAGCAGCAGACATTTTGTTTTCAGTTTGGCACGGCCCTCTGAGGGAGCCACATGTCCCCAGAGGGGCTCATTGTTAGGGGATACTTACCTCAACTAAACTAAATACTCACCTCCACTAAAGGGATTACTTACCTCCACTAAAGGGAATACTTACCTCAACCAAAGGGAATACTTACCTCACCATAAGGGGATACTTACCTCTACCTGAAAAAAAGAAATAAAGAATACCTGTATGTCATGGCCGCCTGAAGAAGTCCCAAGAAGCGGACGAAACGTCGCGAGCGAACGCCACCTGACATACAAGAGAGAGAACACAGCAGGTTAACCAAAGCACATGGAGGAAATTTAAAGGAACCACACAACAAAAAACAAAAACATGTAAAAACAAACTGAAACCAAACATTAATACTTCATATAACAAAGGCGAAACCAGTCTAATATAACTCATAGAACGAGTATATAAAACCTCTTTAGAGAAGATGGGGACGGAGAGCTGGCCATCCACAGGGTGGAGAGTGCACTTTGGGGGCCTCCACTTAGGTGGAGACCCCCACCCCAACCCAAACCTAACCAGCCAGGGCCTCCTGTGGATCAATGGTCAGTGCTCCTATCCATACTAAGCTATATTAAGCTAAACCTAGTCTAAATCCCACACTCTATCCCATCTAACCCCAGCCCATACATTTCTGTACTAACCCTAACCAATTGGACCTATACTAAGCCCCTTTTGTGGCCCTAACCCTAACATTCAAGGCCTGACTCAATTTCAACCCCCCACCCTGACCCCAAAACACTGGCCTTAACTTATTCAAACCTCAGTGAAGGACATTTATAACCCATATAATGGATGAAGCCACTAACTACAGTAGGCATTGATAATACTATGGATGAAGTGTAGCCATTAAAGGGAGGCACACATACCCAATGGAGAAAGTGTAAATCATAGATATGAACACTATATAAGTTAAAGGATAAAGAATTGGAGCCAGGGAAAAAGGATTTTTAATTGAAAAAGGCATGAGAAAGAAGGGTACATTAAAAAATCACTACATTGACACCAGGGAGCAACACGAACTTTCAGAAAGGGAGGGGCTATGAGTACAAAAGGGAGCAGCAGACATTTTGTTTTCAGTTTGGCACGGCCCTCTGAGGGAGCCACATGTCCCCAGAGGGGCTCATTGTTAGGGGATACTTACCTCAACTAAACTAAATACTCACCTCCACTAAAGGGATTACTTACCTCCACTAAAGGGAATACTTACCTCAACCAAAGGGAATACTTACCTCACCATAAGGGGATACTTACCTCTACCTGAAAAAAGAAAATAAAGAATACCTGTATGTCATGGCCGCCTGAAGAAGTCCCAAGAAGCGGACGAAACGTCGCGAGCGAACGCCACCTGACATACAAGAGAGAGAACACAGCAGGTTAACCAAAGCACATGGAGGAAATTTAAAGGAACCACACAACAAAAAACAAAAACATGTAAAAAACTGAACCTACAAAACTTAATACTTCATATAACAAAGGCGAAACCAGTCTAATATAACTCATAGAACGAGTATATAAAACCTCTTTAGAGAAGATGGGGACGGAGAGCTGGCCATCCACAGGGTGGAGAGTGCACTTTGGGGGCCTCCACTTAGGTGGAGCCCCCAACCCCAACCCAAACCTAACCAGCCAGGGCCTCCTGTGGATCAATGGTCAGTGCTCCTATCCATACTAAGCTATATTAAGCTAAACCTAGTCTAAGTCCCACACTCTATCCCATCTAACCCCAGCCCATACATTTCTGTACTAACCCTAACCAATTGGACCTATACTAAGCCCCTTTTGTGGCCCTAACCCTAACATTCAAGGCCTGACTCAATTTCAACCCCCCACCCTGACCCCAAAACACTGGCCTTAACTTATTCAAACCTCAGTGAAGGACATTTATAACCCATATAATGG